GGCAGCGGAGCGCTCCAGGTAAAGGGCGCTTCTCGCAGCCGGGGTCCGCGCGTCCGTACGCGCTTGCTGAAGCCGTTCCCTTGCTTAAGGCGCGCGGGGAAATTTTTACCCCTTTTGTTAGCAAAAAAGGTGCGACCTGAGCCCGTTTCTGACCATCACCGGTTTCTCTAGAGCTTCGGAGCCCCGCCGGGCCGCGGCCGCCCGGGGATGGGGCTGGCTGAGGGCCGCCCCGCCGAGTGAGCCGGCCCCGCCCCGCCGAGGAGCTCCCTGCGCAGGTACGGGGCTCCTCCCGGGCACACGCACCGCCGGCTTTGTCTGGGTTTCAGTTTTCTTTCCTTGTGCTCAGTAGCAAGCCGTTGCCATCTTTCACGTACTTAGTTCAAGCGTTGGCGCTTCATGCTGTGCTGCTCCAGGGATGAGTTTTTCTGCCTAGGAGGGTCTGAGATGGCTGTGGTGCTGCTTAGGGAAGAACTTTGGTCACCGTCTGTGGTGATATTCATATTATCCTTTCTAGTTATAATGATAACGAAGACAGGAAAGCCCAGCATAAATATACTTTGCTTTTGACAACGGGGATTTGTTGACCTATAAATTTTCGTAGGGAATGAAGGAGAAAAGCTAATTAAATTTTCTGCTTGTTAGACCTAGATTCTGTAGATACCAGTAAAACAATGTGATAAACTTGAGCATTGTAGTTCTAGAAAGTGCGTGTTAAGTGTGGATGAAGGGCAGGGGGTTGTATGTAAAGCAAACTTTCACTTGTTGTTTCGTAGCTTGCACAGTATGTAGTTTGGTTTCTTTTCAGTGCTTTGCTTTTAATGTTTACCATTCAGCCAGCATTTTACTGTGATGTTCATTTAATGCATTAATCTGTATTTCTTTGTTTAACTGCATGCGCATGTATGATAGAAGAACGTCCAAAAACACATGCATGTATGCTGCTAATGAGTTACATAAATCCTGAAACTCATGAGTGAAACCTTTGAGTGAAACTCAAACACTTAGGTACTATTGTGGCTAAAAGGAAATATTTTGCTGCTTGTGGTCTTTGGACTTATGTTAATCCTTTCTTATTCTCATCCAAAGAATGAGCACATGCCGATGGTGTACGCCTAGTGGTTCTGACACCACTGAGTTCCTGCAGAGCTATGCTTCTCAACAGTTGTCCCCGGAAGATTTTGAAGGATCCAGCGATGATCTCTGTTACTGCCTGGAGTGTGTGGTTGAATACCACAAAGCAAGGGAAAAATTGCCAAGTTTGCATGAGGTAATTCGGAGACTGGGCTTCTGCCCGTTACTGAGCGGGAGGGCTTGGAACTGAAGCAAAACCTCAGAAGAGGCTTCTGTGGTCCAGCCTCAGTGTAGGGGGCAGTTGTGTGCAGGGGTTGTGTTTTATTGGTTTTTGGGAATAGGGTATGTTGCTTTTTAATGGTCTGCTTTTTTAATATTGAGTTGCAAAGAGCTAATTGTAGAATGAGAGAACCCTGTTGTTTTGCATATATTCAAATTAGTGAGAACTAAAACAGTATTGGGAAGTTGCTGGCTAGACGTTATAGCTTGAACTTTATTCATGCTGTGGTGGTCTGACATCTGAAAAAAAGAACACCTGCTAAACAAACTAACAGCTCTATTTTTTCAATGTGTTTTCTTCCTTCCTCTGTTCAGCTTTGGGTTTGTTCCTCTTTTTGTTTGCTTGCATTTTTCATTTGTAGTTTTCCTCTGTGCTTGAATTTCAGAGATCTGATCTTGCAAGCCTGTGAGACTGTGTGATTAAAAACGAAGTTTTAAAGCTCTCTATTTTGTTGTGAGCCTTTTATAATTTTCCCTCATTAGTATCCCAATTTTGTGTTTTGGAAAGCTTATTTTCTCTTATTGCATGTGTGTGCAAAATGAATATTTGTGGCTGATTGGTCATAACACAGATGTCTAAGAGGTTGCTCGTTAAATTAGTCAGCTAGATTTCTCTGGAGGGCAATTTCATCTGAGGATAGGTTGGGAGTAAGTGGAATGACTGGACCACTTAATGTTCCTTTC